AAAAAAAAAGCACTAGCAAGAGGATATGATAAACACTAGCCGGAAAAAATAAAAATGCTGGGAACCTCAAAAGAAGAATAGGTGCAACAAGAGTATAAAAAATATTTTAATGTAAAAACATGTCTTGTGCTCAATAGCAATATTGTTATGTCTTTTTTTTATTTTTAATATTTTACTTTTGAGAATTTCTTCTGTTACACGACGAGTGTTGATTTATTGATTTTCATGAATATGTGCGATGTAACTATATTTATCCATCACAATGGAGTATGGATCAACAAACGAATACGTTGATACTATGTTGAAAACAACAAAGTATACGGAAGATAAACTTGAGATAAACAGCACCAGAAAACTTCGGAAAATAATTTCGTGTATGTTCGTCGACAAATATCCGTTGATCAAAACTTCGGAAGATATACTGTATATATACATCAGATAACCATGATTTGACAGTTCTTTAATATTAACCGTATAGTTATACATAAGATAAACAATATATAAAGAACTCTAAAACGGGATAAAACATAATACACAATTCTGAATGACTGCAAAATCCAAATCGAATGTAGTTATACATTTTTCTCTCTTCGTACGTTTCTCTCTCTCCGTCAAATATTTTGGTAAAAACGAAAAATATATGTTTAGATATACTGTATATATACATTAGATAAACATGATCTGACATTTCTCTAATATTAACCGTACAGTTATACATAAGATAAACAACATATAAACAACACTAAAACGGTATAAAAACATAATACAAAATTCTGAATGATTGCAAAATCCAAACTGAATGTAGTTATACATTAGATAAACATATGTCTACTTTACATGATAACGAATTGAACTTAGAACTTATCAATTCAAACATATTTCAAATTTACACGACATTTACAAAGTTCAATCAACAACTTTGTGCACTACAAAAAAACAACACAATATATATTGTGTATAACTAACGTATAATTTGTATATATGTTTACTACACTTCTTCGAACGGACGAACGTACGAACGGCTCAACATCTAAAGTGTGGACATGTCCCAGCTGTTGCGAACGAACTTCTCGACGACGAACGGTTAGGTTGCGACGTCGAACGGCGGCCAACTCTCGATCTGAGTCCTCGGCGGTGATGGCGGACGGGGCTGCTGTAAGGAACTCGACTCGACTGGGCCCATGGAGGACTGTTCGCTCGGAGAACAGTCGACGGCTCATGGAAGGGTCGGAGGACGAACGACGCTGCTGCTTCTTGCCCGGACGGTTGCACTACTCGGGGACGATAAATGGTCATCTCTTACCACTTTGTTGGTGAACGCCGGATGGTCCAGTTTCATAAACATCTGCTCTTAAGGTTGTCGTCATCCCTATCATCGTCTTCAATTGGATCGAACTCCAAATCTTCTTATCTCGTTCGATTGGATCTCCAATTTTATTAACATATGCTCTTCTTCTTCATCCTCTTCTTTTTTTTTTGGCAAATATGGTTGAGAAAGTGGGAAAGTGAAAAAGAGATTTTGGGAGAAGAAAAATTCGGGCAGAATTCTTATTATTTTTTAGATACCCGATAAAGAAGCAACTTCCCACATCCAATGCTAATTAATAAAACTTATTGATTTAATTTTAATATTAAAGTTATCTATCTTCTCGTAAGTGTGTAAATTTATTTCCTGTATCGTGTTTTAAAAATAAAATTTGGATGGTGTCGTGGTGGGAGTAATTTTCTCTATACATATTGAAGCCTAATGATTAAAATGTTTGGGTTAATCAATTTTTTGCTTAGAATGGCCCAAGTGAAATCTGCCAATTTTGTGAACATAAAGGCCCATTTCGTATTTTTTGTTTTTAACAAAATTGAGTCAGTTTTTTATTTTTTTATTATTTTTTTCTTTTTTATTCTTTTATTCAAGCCCAAGCCTGCAAACGTATATTAGATCCGACGGTTATTATCGTTTCACTTGTAACGATCGGACGGCCACGATTGATTTGTTAAGGATATAAAAGCTAAACATTGTTTATAGGGTTTCAGATATCTTTCACCACACTCAGCGAAATTCTCGTTCTTTCTATATACATTATCCGGCCAAAAAAATCGGAATTTCCAAAAAAAAAAAAAAAAAAGCTTCAAACGGCCGCAAAATTTTTAACGATTTCCTTTGAAATTCCGAGATTTAGATAGATCTATGTCTGTTACAGATAGATCGCCCCCAAAATTTTGAATTTTTGGTGCCATGCATAAGTAATTTGGTACTAAATATTCGAGACTCACAGCTTATATACATAATCAGCCCGAAATTCTTGAACTTGTCGGGCTTCATAGTTTGTGTCAGCTCAATTTGGTTTATCTTTCTTTGTTTGTCGGTCGTCGGGTTCCAACCGGAGATGAAAAGAACGAAAGACACCGGCCAATATTCGAAGGTTGTTTTTTTTTTTTTTTGGTTAAATTGTCCATTCATTTGGCTTGTATAGATCTATCGTATTTTGTGCTCATATTCAAACTTGTGTAATTTTAAAAAATTATTCTAATTGTGTACTGAGAATTGTATGATGTGGTGTGTCAGTATATGTTTTATTAGATTTACATGTTTTAATCAATTTTTTATTTTTTTATTCTGTATATTGGTTTGAGATGCACATGGTTCGACTTGAAGATATACTTCACTGCAAAATCGAAGGCGAAATGTCAAACAAAAGTGAAATTGAAATTTGAAATTATCGGAAAAAACAATGTGATCTTTACAATGTATCTTTACATTTAAATACATTTTTTTTAATTATGTAGAATCTCTCAAGTCTCAACAGATTCGTTCAAATTAGGATAGGATAATGTGTATTTTTGAAAAATAAATTCCTTCAATTAAGCGATGATTTGTTTCTATAAAATATCATAATAACAAAATTAGACATAAATCATTTCAAACCAATTCAAAATTAGACAAATTTATCTAGCGTCCAATTAGCTTGATCTTCAGGTACTGAGCAGACTGCAGCCTGAAGAAGAAATGTCGAGTCATGAAGCCAGCGGTCCTTCCAAAATCGGACCCGTCTCCCGTTCCGAACAGACCAGCGGATGCCACCGATCACTTTCGGCCAAATTCTCGATATCGCACGGATGACAGTGGAGCCACGCGGGAAGGTAAAATGCGCATCCAGGCTATTTCGGTTTAATCCGTATTTAGCCGCCACGACTTGAACCCACAGAGCGTTATGGGATGTCAACAGCCCCCATCCCAACTTCATCAAGAGAGCCATGTTCATTTTGCGTTGATCTTTAAACCCAAGACCGCCTCTACCTTCGGCTGACACAACTCCTCCCAACGGACAAGGTGAATTTTTCTTTGGTTGTCCGTGCTACCCCATAGAAAACGGCGACATCTTCTATCAATATCAATACCGGCACAGACCGAAGACGGCAACCATTGCATAGTGAAATATGGCAAAGTGCTCACCACCGACTGGATCAAAGTAGCCCGCCCCGATAAGGATAGAGTCGAACTTTTCCAGCCGGATAATCTTGACTCGGCTTTATGTAACACATTGGCGTAGGTATCGTGTGTAGCCCGCCCGTGGATGATGGGCATGCCCAGGTATTTACCCAGGTTGTCGACCCGCTCAAAACCCACCGAAGAGGCCATAACATGTGCCTCATTAGAAGGAATATTACTGGAGAAAAAAACTTTGGTTTTTGATGCGCTAATTTTTAGGCCAGACGCATTACAAATTCGCGTAGAACTTCTTTCACGCACCCCACCTGTTCGTGTGAAGCCTCATCAAATAATAGCAGATCGTCGGCAAACATTAAGTACGGGATCTTCACTTTACCACGACCTAGTGAAATCGGCCTCCACTGCCCACTGTTGACGTAGCAACTAATCGCTAGAGCCAGCCTTTCCATACATAACACAAAAAGATAAGGGGAGATCGGGTCTCCCTGTCGAACTCCACGAGAAGGGACGAATTCTGCGCTAAGGACCCCATTCCAAGATAACTGCATGGTGGCCGAAGTCACACAAGTCATTATGCTCTTCACAAATAGTCGAGGGAAGCCGGCTATGACAAGAGTTTCCTCGAAATAGTCCCACCTCACGTAATCGTAGGCCTTTTCAAGGTCCACTTTTATTACCATGTAGCCTCGCTTGCCTTTCACAGTTCGCATGGTGTGGATCAGCTCCTGAGCAATTACTATGTTGTCTGTAATGTGACGACCCGGAATGAAACTGACTTGTGTCGGGCCTATTAAAAGGGGCATTAAGCGCTTCATCTTGGTGGTAAGAACTTTGGTAACTAACTTGTATACCACATTCAACAGGCTTATCGGGCGAAACTCCTTTATCGAGCTCGGGCAATCTACCTTAGGAATTAGCACGATTAGTGTTTTGTTCAGTTGTCTAGGCATGTCATTTCCATGCATGACTTCACGGACCATGTTGCGAACCGATGGCCCAACGATGCTCCAGTTGCGCTGAAAAAATAGAGCGTGTAATCCATCCAGGAGCTTTAAGGGAGGCCATTGAATTCAAAGAGTGGAGGATTTCAGTCATCTGTTACCTCCCGGCATAGGCGCTGCCACTCTGCGGGTTCCACCGTTGGAAATGCAATTGGGGGTTCGTTATCACGAGTTGGTATGGGGCCGGCCGTATAGATTTGTTGCCTTTTCATAATTCACTCTACCCCTTTTTCCGGTTATAAGGCTTTCTACAATTCAATATCCTCTTTCTTTAAAAAAAAAATAAAATAAAAATTGTCCTATGATTTTCGCGGATATTATATTTTGAGGTGGGTGGGTGTTTTGTTCTGGAGGTACATATGCTTTTGTTTGTTGCCTCATTAGTTTTCTTACTTTCAAAAGATATTGCATAATAAGTGTTCAATAAGGGCATTTTTCTTTTAAAGAATATAAACTTCAAAACTGTTATACACAAATGTAAATATAAAGCCATATATATATATATATTTACAAAGTAACATGGTAACTATTTGCTAGTGAAGAAGAATAAAAACACAAATGATAAATAAAAGTAGCAATGAATGAAAAAAATATTAATTCAATCAAATTTGCTAAAAATAAAAGAGAGTGCAATAGATCATTTAGGGCTTGATTGTTTATGAAATAATTTGTTCAAATTGAGTTATTTTGGTTAACTATAGTTAATTTTGAAAAAAGGTGGTATGGTTAGTTGTAGTGGAATTTTAAGAATGTATTAAAATAATAGT